GCCTTTGCTTCCTATTTCGCATTAAATCTGGCCATAATCTTCCGCGGCTTTACGCTCTCACTCCCAGCGATTCATCTTAAGCTACGTGTTATTCATCTCTGTTGACTCCGCCGTCTCTTTGGTCTTCGTCCAAACCCTTCCTTATGCTGCATCCAAACATAATCTCCTAAGTTAGCGATACTCAAATCGAAATTAGGCAAGCATCTTACATCGGGAGGCATAAAGCCGCTAGCGACCGTTTCATTCCTGAAAACCCAAATCCCAGAATTTGAAAAGGGTCCTCCCAGAAATTAAGGGCAGATAACACATGTGCAACTTGTCCAAGTGGAACATCTCAACTAGATTTTCAATATCCCTGTAATTACTTGGCTGTTAAATCCGCTGTTTTTGCTCCTCTTCTGCAGCTATGATTTTCGCGGATTTAACTGCCACCTCCTGACTTCGACCCCAAGCGATCTGTTGATGATCATGGCAGATTTCTCTATTTTCGTCATCTGCAAGTAGTTTGGTCGGTCAGCAAAGAAGTATCATAATTGCATCTCCCCGTACGATTTGATGACCGTCGTAGCCTTAAGTGTCCCCTTATCGATTGGACTCTAGATAGACTGTAACCAATCGTGCTTGGGTTGCTCTCGTTCCGCCACCTGGACGGTTGTTTCTGCTGTCAACGCAAAATATTATGATCGCATCTGCCGAAAATAGCCCCATCCGGTTTAGAAATTCTACTTTGAAGAGGAACAGGCGAACCCTTATGTACTCTCACTCGCAGAACGGTCCTGTCCGACCGGCATAGTTACCTTGCCATGAGCGATATTTTTTCTCCTTCAAAATCATTTAAATCGTACTGATTTAGCCTTTTGCAAAAACTGAAGGAGTTCTTCACTGTTGGCTAACCGCTTTTCATATCAGACTGCTATTTTATAAGTATAAACTGAAAACTGCTGTGTTACCTGCGCATTCTAAAATTCAGTCGAAAATTTATTTTTGCATCTATGTACTATATAAATTCTTCTTTGGGTTCTAAATGAAACTATTTAATTAGTTACAAGGCAGCTAGTACTTTACACTAGGACAGACTGCATTTATGAATTCCTTTTCCGAACACTTCGGGAGATTTTTCGACATCTTTATAAGGTTTCATTTGGCATATGGCATTCCAGCAGAAAATCCGTGGACGAGAATGCATACTGAGCTACTCGAACAGGTGCAAATTAAGCGTGAGTATTGTCACTGATCTAAAGTATTAGTAGTACCATAGAAGGTTAAATGTGCTTTCCCTATCCCCTCTTTATGTTAGGCATCTAATTTGCAGCCTACTCTGGAGATCCTGCGCGACCAACTTGCTGCAGTCTCTCCGGAATTGGACCCGAGATCTCGACGACATGCACGCGGTCCACATAGCTGTCATTGACCTTCAGAATGCATTCGACACTGTGCTACACCAGAGACTGTTACACAAGCTGAAAAGATATGGATCGGAGGTAACTTCGTCAAAGGGATCGAAAACTTCCTTGTGGGTCGGCACCAGGTTGTGTGCATCGGTCAATGCAAATCCGACTCTACTGTCGACGAAAGCGGTGTTTCCTAGGGTTCAGCATAGGGACCCATTTTGCTTCTAATAAAATTGCACGATTATGCGAGAGCTTTGGACCGAGAGCTTTGTGAAGAACCGGGACTGTGCCCTGAACCTCGATGATTTCTTCGCCTTGGCCACAACAACAAACCTGCGTGGGAACTCTCTTAAACTTCAAAGATCGCGATGCTACCTGGACGTTCGCGGGTACTCTTTTTCACAGCAAGTCGCCGGTACCTGGAACGGGCGTTGCTAGTAAGTGATAATGGCGGATTCCATGGGGATATTTTAACAAGAACTAGATGTACATTTCCTCGAAAAATGCCGTTTAACTGGACAGGGCAGCTCTGTCATACCAAATCAACGCCCTGCATACACCTAATGCTAATGCGGATGCTTGTTATCTCATTTTACCATTAGCACCTATGCTTGAGTGTTCTCGAGTTCCGGTCCCTCACTTTTAAATACAATATTCTATAAAATGTGTAGGCGACTGACAGCATTTTAGCACCATGTTTTGTTGACGTTAGATATTGTACATACTGTTTTCAAAGGCACTGGCTATTACCCCTAAAATATACTCCCTATACTAACCTAACTGCTTGTCTGACCAGTGAACTCACCAACAAGTGAGATGGTGACGATGACACAATTTACACGCTTAAAAAGGGAATTTGTCTGCGTTATTTTTGCTAAAGGTCCTCTTTTACAATAAGATTACCCACTGCCAGCTTTGTAAAACACTTTGTCATTCACAATCTTTTCGCAGTGAGTCACAAATTGCCGGAGTGACTCCCTTTTACTAATGTTGTGTCGTGGACCGACCACATTTAAAATGTTTGCAACTTTAGCTCGAGTGTGAACTGACGAATTTATTTTACATTAACATAATCATCGAGGACTCTCCCTGTAACCCTTCAAATACAAATACAAATCAGGCTCATAATGTGCGCACACTACCTAGGGAATGTTTTCTTTGATCATAATCTGCGTTATTCATTTGTTTATTTCCTCGGTACGTCTTTATCAGTCTCCTAATGTGCCTTCGGTTTCTGTTCCGTTGTCTCACACCTTCTCCTCCAGACTTGTGCGACCTATTCCTATAGTATATCCTGTCGCCTTCTTCTAATTCTTTTCTGATTCTAATGGTACCTGTGCCCTAACACTCAATATTCCTATCTTCTGGGAATTCCTTCTGTAGGTTGCATCGGGCTTTACTCGGCGTTATTCCGTGCGTAGATACTACCAACTGGTCTTTTATAAAGAGAGTCTGCTGGACAAAAATACTTGTGTCTTTAACTCCTTGCACTATGTTAGTTAACTTGGAGGCTAACGTTTTACAACTGCTGCAATAGTTTCCCACATAGGTCTGTCTTAGCCAACTGAACAGGCGTTTAGGGCGCCTGCTCGGGCGCGCGGCGTCTGCGCGTACATTTTGGTATAGGACGTTTGTCCATTCAATAGTTCTGTACGGTTGTGAAAGTGAAAATCTGGTCCCTTGAGCACCAACGAGACGTTGTGGCACGCGCATATGGATTGCCTAGCTCTGCCACTTACTAAGCCCGATCCAGCCTTGAGCATCTTAACTTTGCCTTGATTCCGCGCCCAGTCACCATAAGCTTGTATTTTCGTATATGATGGTTCGGCCATCATTACCAACGATGTTCACCATATGCACCACAACTGGATGGAACGCAGAGGCAGTGACTTTCGTGTGTATTAATTTATAATAGTAGCGACTTTCGTACAAGTAACTGTAAACTCTCCTCCTCACCTACCTGGTCCGTGTCAAAATAGTCAATAAGACCGGATGTGGGAGAGGTCGTTGGTTGCCGACAAAACGAAAGGTCGCACCCAAAGGTTCCTCCGCACCCCCTGGACCACAGCGTACATCGACAAGGATTTTACAAAACAAGAAAAAAGTGGGCGCCTCGGATACCAACCGGCGCTGCGTGGGATATTCACTTGGCCATGCCATTACGTCACAATGTTGGCATTTATTATAAGTTTTGACTCTCGATAACGTCTGCCGGACGCCAATCTAGTTCTCGCGCTGTTCCAGCTCATCTGTTGCGTGGCCTGTTAGCCTATAATACTTACTATACCGACATCCATAAATTCCGACTCGAACCAATTAAGCGCGAAATAAGGGCGGACTCTGGGCGAAGCAGTGAAAGAAATCGTTAAGAGGAAGGCTGTTGACACTCAGTAGAGGTCTTAAACGGGTGAATCCAAACCTCAAACAATTCAGCGAAGGCAGAAAATCTGGACTGTTTCGCAAATCGTCCAAAACTATTCAAGCCCGGGGTAGCGAAATGATAGCACCAGATAGCGCAAAAAAACTTGCTCTGTTGCATATTTCTAGGGGTTAGACACAAACACCGACAATTTCAATTGCAAAATAGTAGGGTAGATACCGAAACATAAATCGTGACAATATAAGCAAATACTCATCAGAAAAGACTGCTATCAAACGCTTACGTTCGTAAAGACAGAAACCCACACAATCCTCTTGTATAAACATCGTCATATCTCAATGTTACTTAAAGATGAAGGAAGTCGTTTAGTGTCGCCTTCTTCTTGCATCGGACATGATTGTGTAACTTTTCCCTTTTATTGATATTTTGGCAGATGCTGAATAATTCATATTGGCCCAACTGTGAAAAACTCGGCGCCTCGGTGGGATTCGAACCCAAGCAGTGAGGGGAAGGCTTTAGCGCAGCCAACGCTCTAACCACCTGAGCTACGAGGCCCCGCCGGACGACGCGAGTTAAATCACATTTTGGGTCAAGGTACCCGCCCAACCTACTGCAACGTTTGGAATCCACCAAATCTAAATCAGTAAGTTGACTGCCCAAGCAGGATTTCCTAAGTAATTCACCTAGAATCCACCAGATGACTACCAGGCTCGCGTAAATCATTGATATGTTGGCGGATGTTGAATAATTCATACTGACCCAATTGTGAAAAACTCGGCGCCTCGGTGGGATTCGAACCCACGCAGTAAAGGGAAGGCTTTAGCGCAGCCAACGCTCTAACCACTTTTAGTGAGTTGCGCTTTTTCCTATGTTTTTGCTGTCTGCTTTCCCCTTCTTTCCTTATTCACTCACTTTTTTAAGTTTTCCTTGATTCTTGGATGCCGATCACTCCATATAGACGATTTCAGTAAACAGTTTCTCCATCTTCCCTCTTTCATGTCCGGAACAGCGTGTTTTGAATTTCTCCTGCAGAATGGAGAACTTAACCCTGATTTAGTTCCCATCAGGTTAACAAGAAAATAATAACGTGATCGAGGGCTTTTGTTCGTAGTATAAAATGCCATACGTTCACTTTTGACGGTTTAAACCAACAATTGCTCGTTTTAATACTCTGTAATCTAGTTGTTAGCTTTGGTGTATCGCGTGGTCGGTATTCTTTGTGGCCGAGGATGTCGGATGCTGAGAATGAGACACAGAACGATGCGGAGGCTTCCGTCGTAGAAGAAAACCCCTTCGCATCACTTAGTTACGAGGAAAAGCTGAAATTTTCATGTGCTATTGCGAAACCAATGGCTTCGGAGAAATTGACGAGACGTCTTGGCAGATTAGTGAAGAAGGCAAAGCGAAACAAGTTGCTGTCTTGTGGGGTCAAGGACGTTGTCAAGCAGATAATAAAGAAGAAGTTACCTGGAATTCTTGTCATCGCGGGAGACGTCAGTCCTATTGACACCGTTTCTCACATCCCTGTAATATGCGAGGAGAACAACATTCCGTATTGCTATGTTCCTTCCCGGTATGACTTGGGTGCAAATTTTTCCTCTAATGTGAGCTCCCTGTGTGTCTTTATCAAACCTCACGATGACTACGAAGATTTGTATAGTAAATGCCATTCGGCTGTTGATGCGCTACCTTTGCCAATCCATTAAATTCTGCATTTAGCTTTCATGCTTCTTATTTCTTATAAGTCGATGCAGTTTTTCAACGGTCTAAGTCCATTTTTGTTTGGTAGTTCAGATATGGTCGACTAATATTATTACGGCTTTTTGCCCTGCTCCCCCTCCCCTGAAGGCCTGTTTGGCCATCTCCACCGACCACATTCGTTTTGCGGTATGTTCCGTCTGCTAACCACAGGAACTTTAGTCCTGGTCGAATTCCTCCTCACCGTATTCTGCACGAATCACCTCAGCACCCTGGCACCTATGTGGGACTTCTCAGTAATGTTTGCGTCTTGAGGAGTAGGCAGTCCCATCTGTAGACGTCCTTTTCCGACCATAAACAATTTATGCCAAGCATTGTGACCCGGATCATGATATTCACACTTCCCTAACATCGTGTTTATTTCGGCAGTGATGACCCCACGAACTGCTTTCTGCCATATCTGACGACGAGAGGTTGAGTTAGCTGGAAATAAAAAGTTTTTAGGGGTCCGTTGATAACAATTAGCGAGTGGCGTAATGATGTAAGACGATTTGGGCTGCGTACTATCCGGAATATCGTCTCACTTCCACCAACATTGGGATGGCTGGCATGATTATTAGCGCCCGTTCGTCCCTCTGAGATAAATACTTGTTCGATGTGGCCCATTTCCCTGCAAAACATTGGGGTTTCATGATGTCCGCAGTATAGACATCGGATTTACTGTTAGTCGCTACGGTACCAGGCTTGTCTTGAAGTATCTAAGGTCTGTGATAGGCGGGGAATTTTAACTCGAGTCGCTCTAGATATTATATCACTCCAGTGGTTGGCTAATTCAGCTGCCGATAGTCTTACGGGATCACGATAGTGGGCTACACCACAGGCCTTTTACAGCGCCAAATTGCGCATCCTCATTGCGCAACAACGATTTATTGATGTATGAACGTCACCCACCCGAACTTGCCTGCCGCAATCGATCTATACCAGCAGTTTTAAATGGGGTGTCGGATTCGTAGTGGAATCACCATCACATTGACTCGATTTCGGGCTCATCTGACAAAACTGATAGCAACTTGAGACCAGGTTGTTTTATCCACTCTTTGTTGACTCCAGCCTAGTAAACGCCGCATGTAGGCCAGTACCTGCTAGCGAATTCAAGGCATCGCTGCCCCAGTCCTTCAAGGTTTGTCATGCAGAGCCCCTGTTTGAGGTAGCTTCCAGCGTAATCGTCGATTACAACGTTGGGACCCATTCAATAGTCATTAAGGCCACCACGGCAAATCTGAAGCATGCGATGGTTTCAGGATTTTATTCTGCTAGTAGGGCTACGACCTGAGTAACAATACGGCCACTTTCTTTGAAGTACGTCCCCAGCGTTGTGGATGGAATGGAAAGAAACTTTGAAGAAATGTACCATATACGTGGGATAGCGCGTTTGGTAAGCCGCAGGTACCACGGTTGGGTACATGGCATAGGAAGCGTTATCGGTTGAAGGACAGCCAAACAACGCCTAGGAATACTGATCACGCTTTCCTGACCTTGAGCATCCGCCTGTCGCACGCTGTTGCGTGAAGGTATGAGCTCAGCACAGACAACATACATTGCGCAAGCTAGATGGGAGGAGTCACCAGATGATTTAACCTTCTGAATTCAAGGTTAGGTTAGCTTGTCTTACCTAGCCGACCTGCACGCTGCGGCTGATTGTGCCTCTTTACTGGTGACGATTTGCGACCTAAGATTTACAGACCGACTGCCAGCGATCCAAGGAACATGTCTTGAAAGACTATTCGGCCAGGTTTTGAGCTTAAGTCGCCTTTAACGCCTCCAGGCGACGGGAAAAATGTTAAAACCAGCTCACTTCTTGGATGACCTGAGGTATCCCGGCGATGCCGCAACGAACGTGGATCGTCTTCTTCGAGACAGTCGATGTGTTTCACTCGAAGGACGGTTCCCAGGCAACGACAGCCAATATTTTCTGGTTTTCACCCGTCTTACATGCACATGGCTTAGTGTTCGCACCCATACAAAAGGACTGACGAGACAGAGACATCACATCAACTCGAGCTTTCTGTCAACTTTGCTCTAAGGTATTGAGGGCTATTTCTTCAGGCCGACAGCCGGTGATCATAAGGGTGGTCTGGTCACAAGCACAGAGCTAACAGATAAGCGGGCTAACTTAGCGACCCCATTCAGTCTTAGTAACATTCTGTAGGTCATTATTGTTTGATATTAACAATGATACCGCTGGCGCAGTCGAAGTAAGTTGGCCGACGTCTAGATAAGAGTTAGACGCAGTCGAACAGCGCGGGACACTTCAGAGAATCCGGTCGCTCGTCAAATTTGACAGGATAGATCATAGAGTCCCCGCTTGTTGCACAGCAGAACGAATATTGATAGACCAGAACCTGTGCAGTAATACGGCAGACTGTCCATGGGGATGCTTTTGCTTACGCGCTGTGTAAATCCATTATCTGCCACAGGGACCCTCGATGAATGCATCAGAGTTAAAGAAGCATACACCCATTGCCATTTGGTAGCAATTTCGGAATTAGATGTCTCGCAGTGCGGACATGACGTCGGTACATCTACGCATAGCTCGGAGATCGGCTTGGTTCGGTCCAGCCCCCGGGCCACACACACCGAAACATTCTGAGTGACGAAGACAGCAACTTCGGTTACACTTATGTCGCATTATACATTTTACTTCGCCGTTTATTCTTAAAGGGAGCGCTAGTGTGGCTGCGGTCCAGTTACTAAGGTCGAACTCATCTCCCTACCCTTAGTCACTCACCAGGGCACGAATGCGAATTTCGTATGCTTTCCTGGGGTGCTGTCTTCTAGCTGAGCCATGTTGTTGTGCGGCCTCAGTATTGTGTCGAAGATTTCCTTTTCGTTAGGAGGGTCGCATGTCGCTGCATAGGCTGGTAAAAAAGGGGGCTCCGCTGGGGAGGAGGGAGGGGTGGTTTAGTAGTCGGAGTTGATAAGGAGCTCAACCCCCGCCGATCTGTCAGTAAGGAAGCCGCCATTCACAATGAGATCCGAGTCATTTTGGGGGGCCTACCAATTACTTGGGGGATAAGTTTTTGCAAAAAGCGGACCTCGGGTTACTTGCTTGGAAACCAGTCAATGACCGGATGGCCTATGTGCGACTGAGGGGTCACTTCACGAACATCTCCATCGTCTATGTGTACGCACCAACTTCGGCTGCCGTACAGCGCGATAGAGAGGCGTCTTAGTCGCAGTTGCAAACGTTAGTTGAACGACTCCCTCGCCGCGATCTGCTGATTGTCGCTGGGGATTGGAATGGTCGGAATGGACCTGGCGATCCCACAAACAGTCATCTTCTTGGCCGCTTTGGGCGTGGTTACTGATGTGGCAATGACAAGAGATTGCTGAACTACGCTGATCAGAACCGACTGCCTGTCACCAACACGTGTTTCCAGCATCGAAAGAAACATCTATTGACCTGGTATTCAAACGACGGTCATACGGCCAGTCAGATTGACTACATATTAGTCAGCTCAAGGTTCTGCAGCTGGGTTCACGATAGCAGATCGATGCGTGGTGCCGAGACTGGTAACGCCCATGGGTCAGACTAAGTCATCGTTCGTACACGCTTGAAAGTTCGCCTTTCATCCGCGCCAAAAGTGCTACGTCCTAGACGCCTCGACGTCGCAAAAATCCGGCAAACCAGCACTGCAGGGGCCCTGAGCAGAGAAGTTCGCTCCTGTTTTACGACCCGAGCCGACGGAGAAGGCAGTAGCAAGTGGTCGTCATTAAAAACACCAGTCTATGGGGCAGCTGAGAAAATCCTTGGATATACAAAGCGACACCGCAGTGACTAGACCAGCGGAAGAACCCTGCGGTTGTCTGCTCCGACTGCTCGAACCAAGTCTCATAATGATGATTACTTTCGCCAAATTCGAAGGATGACGGCAAAATCGACCAGAGATGACCGGAAGAAATAGTGAGCTGAAATAACGACCTCCATTGAGCAGGCCTCAAACGTTGGTGACACTCGAAAGCTCTATCGTCTGATCCGCCAACCTCCAACCTATGCAGTGCCATGCTACTCCGCTTCTGAAAGAGAGGTCGCCAATGCCATACGAAGGCTACGCAACAACAAGGCACCCGGAGAGGACGGTATACCCGCTGAAGTCTACAAGTCTTGTGTCGGCACTGTGACGCGCAGGCTGTATGAGGTGATTGAACAAGCAAGGAGAAACGAGGTTGCTCCTGATGATTGGGGCTAAGGCATCCTTGTACCTATCCTCAAGAAAGCAGATAAGACGAGATGCGAGAAGTATCGCGGCATAGGCCTCATCGACGTTGCTGCGAAGGTCTTCGCTATTGTCCTTCTCAGGCGATACAGGCTGTGCGCGAATCAAGGACGAGGCCCAACCAGGCCGGATTTCGTGATGGATGTGGATGCGGGGACCAGGTATTCACACTAAGGCGTATGCTCGAATTTCGCCATATCTGCCAGCAACCGACGGCCGTCTGCCTTGTTGACTTTGCCGTTGCGTCCGATTCCGTCCATCGTGAGTTCCTATGACGGATAATGGCACTAGGTGGTGTATCGCCAAAAATCATCGCCACGATCAAAGCTTATTATCGCTCCACCACCGCGCGAGTCCTGGTCCACAACAATCTTTCCCAACCGTTTGATATTCGGTCAGGCGCTCGACAGGGTTGTATCCTGTCGCCCATTCTGTTCAACTACGCTATTGATGGATTCTCGGGAGGGTTCTGCACGAAGATGACGGTGTTGAATTTGCACCCGGACGCCAACTATCTGATCTCGACTATGCCGATGATATTGCTTTATTTTCTTCAAGTTTTGGTGACCTGAAGTCTGGTGTCACAGGTGAATGAGGTCGCTAAATCGGTCGGTTTATCCATAAAAACTGGGAAGACTAGAGTTTTTTTCAAGCTGCATCCCTGACCAGGAGAAGGCACTTCTCGGGGTTGATGGTTGTCAACTTGAAGAAGTAGAAGCAGAAGCTGCCTCGGGCCGAGGCGGCTGCCGATTGGCCAGTGTTAGAATGACATTGTCTCCCGACGGGTTTTCTCAAGGTTTAGAAAATAGCTAGGGATCCGACGTGACCTCTCCATCGCCACTGTGATTTTCGTGTATCGTGCATCTGTCCGGTCCGTTTTTCTTTCTAGTTGTGAATGCTGGGCTGTGTGTATGGAGGACGACCGAAAACTGGAGGTATTTGACCTCCACTGCTTGAGGATCATCCTTCGAGTGTAGTACACTGACCTCGTCTCAAATGAGATGGTCCGCGCTCGCTGCGACA